AAATTGGATTTTCGAATTATTAACGGATTCGAATATGAACCACGAAAATAAAATTCGTTGAATTATTGGATCGAATTCCAATCCCAATCAGTCAAACTCCAATGTAAACTTGATCTGTTCACAAGCCTAGTTACTGGTAACAACATTTCAAATTCACACACAAATGGTCTTTTATATAGCAATTGTTTTGCAAACTAGCCGTTGGACAAAAATAGTTGTTGTCCACTTCCAACCAGTGTTTTAAATCCGGCCCAGCCCGACAGGTTGACCCGGTGAATTGGTGCCTAAACTGGACCAGTTCACCTTGGTCGTTTATGCATAAGAACCGAAGTCAACCGGTGAACCGGCAAAAATCCGGGGAAATTCGTCAAACCGGACGGGTTCCATCAAACCAGGTGGGTCATTTAATTTACTATAAAAGGTTGATTTTTTGGCATTTTGCCCTAAATTGTGTTACCCAGCCAGCCCCCTTTGTGGACGTCATTCGTTCCCCCCTCCCTCCCTCCCTCCCTCCCTCCCTCTCAATCTTTCTTGCCCTGCTATGGTCTGGTTTTATACAGTAATGTGCAGTGGGAGTTCAAAAGGGAGTGAGCCTCGATTGAACACTCGAAAGCGAAGGAACAGATCGAAGACTCGAAGGCTAACGGTCTCAGATCAAAGGTCTGTTTTATGACACTCACTCTGCGTGCTGTGGAAGTGGAACTGGTGAAGACTCGAAGGCTGGACATGGACTCGATCAGACCTCCATCGACTTCAATACTCATTCTCTACACATATTCTTCCCTCAAGCGAGACTCCAGGCACCAGCAGGTACATTCTCTCCCCCTTTCTCTTTGCACATTACAATTGGTATATTATACTCACTAATATTGTATTGTATGGTTACAGGATGATTGATTATGGCTTTGTTGATTCAGTAAAACTAGATTATTTGTATTTAAGTTTGATTTGGTGAAAATTTTAATTAAATTTGATTTGATATAGATTGAAGATTTGAATTGATTCAGTAAAACTAGATTGTTTATTCATTAAGGATAACCTCTGTTCATTTGCTTGAACTCGTTCATGGAGGAGCCCTCAAAACTTGCAGAATACATTTTTTGTCCCCACTGTTTTTGATTTTTTAACTTATGTATTATTATTATTTATTTTTTATTATATTACCGGTCTGACCAATGACTTAACGGTTGAACTAGTAATCCGTTGATGTTGTCTACTGAGTTGACGTCCGAGTCAGGTTTTAACAATATGCTTCCAACTGACCCATCAAAGTTATTTTGGGAATTTTAAAAGAATACTTTGCTTTTACGTAAACAAACTATTCACTCACATTCACGGAGTGAAGGCGGTATGGGGAATTTGAAAGGGACAACTAAAGCAAAGGGAGGACAATGTTATATGTCTAACCCTAGAGGGTCTGATTGTTATATGGACAAACCTCAATGGAAATGAATGTAATTTACCCTAGATGTTTCAATAGAGCTTCTAATAATAGACTTAAATTCCATCCGTTTAAACCCGTAAAACTAAACCCTAGCATTAGTTCAGTGATTGTATCTGTTCTTTGGTAATTTAGAGATTTCAAGTTTAATCTCTTTTAATATCTTTAAGGGTTAATCACCCTTGTTCCTTTATAAGGCCATGTTCTAGATCATTCACTGAACTTGATGGATTAATCGACACAAACTTGAACACGTGACCAAAAAAAAACCTACAAAACTCTACTCTGTCACCATTTCCTACCTACAACTTGACAAAAGATCAAAATACTGATGGATCGATGCTCCAAAGGGAATTACAGTTCAGCACCGCCATCAAAGTGTTTGTGTGGTGTGTGGAGAGGTTACTTTCTTAACTTGAGGAGTTTCCACAGGATATAATAACAAATCTTTCCAAACCTTAGGGGTGGAGGTGTTATTCTCTTAACCCGAGGGGTTCATGTGATGTTTTTAACAAATTTTTTGGGGTTTGTATACATACTAATATCTTATCTTATCTTATCTTATCTTTAGTCTGGGTTGGGCCACAAGATTCTGCAAGTTGAATCTGGCCTACTTGATTCGTAACAAGTCTTATCCTTTTCAATTCTTAATCTGGCCTTTTTATTATTATTATTATTGTAGTCAAAGATATTTGGATTAGCTTACGCATGTCTTGACTAACCTCTTATCCGGCCAGTTAAAATCAAGTCATCTACACTGGAATTAGAGAGTTCATGTTGGAGAAATTCTTCATGGTCGGACTCTAAGGAAGTCATCAAGTTTTAAACTCAAAATATCACAATTAATTCATGCCTCCAGTAAGCTATCCTATGGGGTTTCAGCCCATATTTAAGATGAGTGAAACTTGGGTATAGATTTCCGATTTACCTGCGCCTTATTTAAGGCTGATAATCGAGCTGAGATTTGCGAGATCAAGTTAAACTTGTTGAGCTCGTTTATTTTAAACGAGTTTAAAAATTTTAGTCAAACTCAATTCATTTAAAAAACGAGTCAAGCCCAAAACAAGCTAAATCCAAACCAAGTTCGAGTAATTTGATGATTTTATATATAAATGCACTTTTGCAAGCTCGAAAATGAGCCTAAAAAAATATTTAAGCTCGACTCATTTAAAAAATGAATCAATCCCGAATAATCTGGCTCAATTATGTGCCCTAGTCTTACCCCAAACTTGTGAAGTGGCCTATGTATAGTAAATGGCCTTTAGAGACCTTATTTAGTTGCATCTAACCCAAACCTCTGAGATGGACTTTTCAGGTGGGCCTATTTAACTTTGCTATCCAAATTTCTTTCTTGTGAATAAAGATTTTATCCCCATGTAAGCAAGGGTGGAGGTATGTAGGGGCAGGGGGAGGGGGGTAGCTTGGATTTTTATCGTAATTAGATTTGATCTTTATCATTTTATTAACATATATAAAATAAAATATTTGTTGTACCCACCACCGTTAAGCCATTTCCCCTCCATGTAAGGTAAGTATTTATCGTCTTCAACAAGTGCAATTTGGGGTCATTCTACTACTTTATGGTGACCAACAATGTTGGCAAGTTACTTACAATCGAGTAGTAAAGAGTGGGTGGGTCTTCTATATATGTGTAAAGAATAGAGAAGAGGTAAATAATTGGTGGGCTTTCTATGTCTATGCCAATGAGAATAATGATATTGAGATTTAATTTATTAATTTATTTAATTATAATTTTTGGATTGAAATGAATTCCATTTAATATCAGGACTTACTATTAATGAATAGTGGTATTGAGACCTAAGAAATTGAATTGGTTTGATGACTTATTTAATGTGTCAACTGATAGAGTCCAATGAAAATGTGCAAGAATTATCGTCACAACAACACTATCAAAACATATTAATGTCAATTTTTTAGGTTTCAAAAACATAACTCGCTATTAAGAGTATGCTACACAGACTTAAAAAATGAAAAATGCTATTTAGACTTTATTTGAGGACCTAATCTAGGGATAGCGATTTATCAAGTTAAGTTTTTAAGTTTATTTAGTATTTTTTTGCTACTAATTCAATAACTATAATACATTAGGTCAATAAATTAAATTTAGTTACCATTCCTCTCTAAATAAACTAGAGAAAATGTAATACCAAACTCTAATTTGTAGAAGTAGTTAGGGGAATTTTCTAATTTTCAAACTTCTTATTCTCCGCTAACCTTAAACCCCACTTCATGGAGGCAATCACCAACATATCCCACCACATTTTCCTCTCTCTCCCCAAAGTACTTCCCCCTCACAAATCATCTCCACCACCTCCTCCATGGAAGAATCATCTCCTACACTCAAAACCTATAAAATAACAGCTTCTTCCATTTCTTACACCAAGCCCTCCACAATCACCACCACCACCATTGCAGCCAGCTTCCTCTTCAAACCCTGCACTGCACCACCACCCAACTACATCCTCCGGGACGTTTCTCTCACCGCCTCTCCCTCCCAAATCCTAGCCATTGTCGGACCTAGTGGCGCCGGAAAATCCACACTTCTCGACATTTTAGCAGCTCGGACATCACCAACAAGTGGCACAATTCTTCTTAATTCTTCACCTATCAACCCTTCTTCATTCCGCAAAATCTCAGCTTATGTTCCTCAACATGATCATTGTCTTCCTCAGCTCACTGTGTCTGAAACTTTTGCCTTCACTGCTGGGCTTCTCCACCCCAAAACCTCCGACATCGCAGCCATTGTCGCTGCTCTTCTTGCTGAGCTCAGGCTTACACACTTAGCCCACACCCGGCTGGCTCATGGCCTGTCCGGTGGTGAGCGACGACGAGTCTCAATTGGCCTTAGTCTCCTCCATGACCCTGCTGTGTTACTTCTTGATGAACCCACTTCAGGCCTTGATAGTTATTCAGCTTTCAATGTAATGCAGACCCTCCGATCAATCACTAAAACTCATCACCGTACTGTAATCTTATCCATCCATCAACCCAGCTTCAAGATCCTTTCCACCATTGATAGAATTCTCTTGCTGTCCAAAGGAACTGTTGTGCACCATGGTTCTCTTTCCTCTCTTCAAGCTTTCTTACTCTCTAATGGCTTCACAGTCCCTCAACAGCTCAATTCACTAGAGTATGCCATGGAAATACTAAGCCAGCTCCATGAGAGTAATCCCATTACACCACCCTCACTTCCTCCATCACCCAACGATACCATTCTCCCTCCTCCTGAAAATAAGACAGTAGAAGTCAGATACAAGAGCACAAGGATTCATGAGATTATCAATCTTTATAACAGGTTTTGGAAGATCATCTACAGGACAAAACAGCTGCTATTGACAAACACATTACAAGCTCTTGGAGTTGGTCTTGTTTTGGGAACTATCTACATTAATATCGGATTCGACAAGACGGGGATGGAGAAGAGACTAGGCCTCTTTGCCTTCACTCTCACCTTTCTTCTCTCCTCCACAACTGAAACTCTCCCAATCTTCATCAACGAGAGGCCGATTCTGCTAAGAGAAACTTCAAGTGGGGTTTACAGGTTATCGTCATATCTCATAGCGAACACACTGGTCTTTTTGCCTTACTTGCTCGCCATTGCAATTGTCTACTCAGTCTCGGTCTATTTCTTAGTGGGTCTATGCGCTACATGGCAAGCTTTTGCCTACTTTGTTTTGGTCATATGGGTTATAGTTTTAATGGCCAATTCGTTTGTTCTCTTCTTAAGCTCCGTGGCTCCCAACTACATCGCCGGAACTTCACTGGTAACGATACTTCTAGCCGGATTCTTCCTCTTCTCCGGCTACTTCCTATCAAAGGACAGTATGCCCAAATACTGGGTATTCGTGCACTACTTTTCAATGTACAAGTATGCTCTTGATGCCCTGCTCATTAATGAGTATTCTTGCCTTTTATCAAGGTGTTTGATATGGTATGATGACAACCAGACCTGCATGGTCACTGGACGTGATGTGCTGCAAAAGAGAGGACTCCATGAGAGGCAGAGATGGGCAAACATCTATATCTTGATCGGATTCTTTGTGATCTATCGTGTGCTGTGTTTGATAGTTCTGATCCGAAGGATTTCAAGATCGAAGAAATGAGAATTTTCCGGCAACTATGGATTCAACATCCTCTCTACTGGTTTGTTTCTTATGTTTGTGATCAAAAAGTGAAGCTCATGCATGTAATGTCTACTTCTTTTTAATTGTTCAAATTATTAAAAACAATAAATTGAGTAATTGTGTATGAAAACGTGAATGTAAATCTTTTTTTTATTTAAATATTTTTTAATAATAACATTTGAACTTAATTTGTTAGTATAATTTTTTGAATTAATGCATAACAACTATTTGATTGATAACGGACCCCAAAAAATACTGGAGTCCCCATTAATCCATCGACTATGAATGATTAAGTTGAAAAATTAGATCAATAAATTATGGTTAAGTATTATTAAAAAAAATTATGTCTAAGTAGCATTGCTCAATCTTTTTTAGACCAATTTTGAAAACCAATGTATTCAATGCATTAAAAATTAGTGTAATTGTTATGAATGATTAAGTCGGTAAATTAGGTTTAATTAGCATTGCTCCCTATGAATAAAATACTTTCCAATGAAATAAAAAAAAACAAAAAGAGTAAGGTTATTGGGACCTAAAAATTTAACCTAATGATTTGGTTTCATTATAATCATTAGATTAATACCAAATTTTAATATCATTAGAAGCATATCTTATATTGACATTCATTTGATTTCTTACTATTACAAAGAGTAATGATATTGGAATACAATTTTTTTATTTGAACAGTAGAATACAAAAGTTAATATAGTTTGTTGACAATAATATGTCTAAGTGACGGAATTCTAACGAAAAAGTTTAAGAATTATAGTTACAACAATATTATTAGATCACGAGCAATATTATTGGGACCTAAATGAACAATAATAATTGACAAGCGAAAGAATCCTAATTAACAATATTGCTCTTTGACTTAATTTATTTAACTATTCGATTATAATTATTAGATTGATTGTAAGCCTCAAAAAATATTCAAATTCATTATCTATTCAATAGTTACGAATGATTAGATCAAAAATTATATCAATAAATTATGTACAAGTAGCATTGCTCTATAATGAATAAGTCTAAGAGTTACTCTTACAACAATACTATTAGAATATGTCACTGTCACATCATTAGATCAACAAATTAATTTAGTGTTTGAGGTCTCAATAGCATTAACTCATTGGACCATATTACTTTCAAATCATTAAATCAACTAATTAAATCAATTTTTTTTATGTCCAAGTAGCATTAGAATTAATCATTTAAGTGAACAAAGATATATAAATTATTAAAATAAAAATTTTGAGACAAAGAAATAGATAGAGCCTTGATAACAAATTATGAGAAAAATAGTATCATTATTCAATAACAATAGGTCTAGTAGTGCCGGTTGGAGGCCTGGTTCAAGATGGATATCTTGAAAGAGAGTCATCACCTCGCCCAACATCCTTTCCTTTTCAATAGTCAATTCTAGAGGCAAATTAAAGTGCACATCTCATATATAACCAACTAGTCCAGCATAATAATTCAAGTGACATATTGTCATTGTAACATCACAAATCATCTATCTTCTCAACAAAAGAATCAAATTATGCATTTGAGAGATGACTTTAAAAAACCTTTCGTACATAAATTTCTTTTTTTTTTTTTTGGTTTTTCATCAAACTTGTCCTCAATCAAATTATTTCACATTTCAATATAGTCACTTTCACAACCCCTCACTTATTCTCCAACTTCTTAATTATTTTTTTAACTCTTCAATTCATTCCCCTCTTTTTTATTTAACGCTAGATTCAAACGTTATGAATTCGAATTTTAGTAGTCTCTTGGGACCAAGTCATAAGAAATTTATCTTCCATGAATACTCTAATCTCGCGCATGGATGTCTTGTTTTTAACTTGATCGAGAAATAAATTAGCTAAAATGTACGTAAATTGATCCAAATACTCATAACCGTTGAACCAAAAAATATAACAAATATACCTGAGTTGGAATATGGTGTTAAAACAGGGGGTGAGGACACAGAAGAAATATAAATCTCGTGCATCATACAAATCCGAACTACAATTGGACTAATATAAGAAATCTCATTTCATGGGACCAGCAAAGGTGAGCCAATAATTTAGCAGTGTGTAAGCCTGAGATGGCGAAACAAGTGGCGTGAGTGAATGTGAAGTCAGGCACGTAATATTGAGCAATGTAGTGTCACGGGTCCCCATTGATGAAACCAAAGAGGAGAGTGAAGAATCCGAGAGTCTCGTCGTCGTCGTCGTCTTCTCCATTTCGAATCGGATAATAAGTTAATAACACATCACAAACACAACGTAGGTCTGATTGTAGGGGCCTTTTGTCTGGTTGCGAGGCATTAAAAAGAATGGCAGTGTGTGTTTTTTGTTTTCTTCTTTGCTGTTTATTCATTGCTTAGTTCACGGGTGGAGTTCATCTTCTGCTAGCATGTGAACTACTGCCTTTTTCTTGTCTACATCAATACACATGTTATTCTCACCCACTATCTTTTGGATATTTTCAATAAAACCCACGTCATAATTTAAACTGAGAAATAACCTTTAGGGTAGTTTTGTGATAGAGTCTCAACTCTAGTGAGTTAGATATCTCATGTTTAACATTTTTTATATTCATTAAAGGCCAAGAACCCTTGTTCTTTATAAGATATATTCTAAACTCGTTCGGACTATAATGGTCAATATTCAAATTAGAGACAGTAGTCAACACAAATCTAAAGACTCTATAGCCAAAAAAAAAAAAATCAATCGAGATTTTTTTTAGTTTAACATATCACTTGGTAGTGTCGGGTGGTATATTTATCCAATTAAAAATTGAACATTCTGAAGAATTGTTGTCACTCATCACTTTGTCAGAATTTTTTTTTTGAAAAAAATAAAAACTCGTATGTTTTAGATGACAATCACTACTGTCAAGTGGTGTGTTAAACTCGTAATTTTTTTAAAAATTTAAAATCCTCCCCCCAAAAAAAACATTATGTTTTCAATTAATTAAATAGAAAATACCATAGGGAGAAACCCAAATAAGTTATGGATTAATCTAATTGAATGATTAAAGTCAGTAAGAGTAAGAAACGAGCTTCATGATTTTTGAATCTTACTAAATTGAGAATCTAAGTGTGGCTAACTCTTCAAGATGTAAAATAATCATATATAGACTGACAAACACACACTCTCACACTGATAAACACACACGTCGATAAACTTTTTGAATTAAAAAAAAAAATACACACACGATGCACTCGCTAAAAAACAAACATTTATGAGAAATGCACACGCTCAAATGGGGGTTTGTTTAAGAAATGGTTCTGGCTCGACTCATTTTGATACATTCGATATTCAATCATAATTTTTCCAACTCATTAACAGCTGACTCGTCATTTTCCTTTATTTTTATATAATAAAAATTCCTACTTGTGGGGTAGTTTTGTGATTTCACCAAAATTTTGAACTTCGATAAATCTTTTGCAAATTCTAGAAAGCAAATTTTTGGTTATCCCCAAGAATATATGATTAGAAGACTATTGGGCCTTGTCCTGAAATGGAAAGCCCATACTTGTGCTGAACTCTTGAACGGGCTGTTCTGGAAACCAAGTTTCTTATGTTAATGGTGAATATTGAGTTGGGCCAAGTATTTTATCTCAATACTACATACGTGGGCCAAGAAATTTATCTGATTATCCATATGAACTTCTGAAGTGGGCCCATTGCCTAGAAAAATTTGGGACCGGTCCCCTTTTGTGAAATTATTTGAATTCAAATCCACTCAAAAAATTTGTTTGCAAATATATTCATTTTGATTTTAATTATCCAAAATACCTTCAGTAATTATATTTAATTAAAAAAAATTTAAAAATTAATAACTCTTAAATTTTAAAAGTTTTACTAGTATTAAAATTGTTTCTCCATCATATTTATCTATATTTATATATAAATTAAAATTGAGGACTATTTTATCTCTATCTATATTTATATAACTTGTAACCCATACTTTGGTCCAATGGTACTTCTTGTCTTGTAAAGACTTTGTCTTATTGAGGTAAAGGGTTCAAGCCCCCCCTTCCCTTTTCTCCTCAAAAAAATAAAAAAATAAAAAAAAATTTATGAACAATGTCAATGACATCTTTTGCTCCGCTTCAGAGCCGGCCCAACTGTGGAAGTAAAAAAAATCTGGGCTTTGGGCCTCATAATTTTAGATAAATAATTGATCCACTTTAAAATTTTTAATCCATGAAAATTATGTCCTATTAAAAAGCCTTAGTCAAAATGTAAGGCCAACCAAAAAATTTAATTTTAATAAATTTTTAAACTCATGATTCAACCCATTACAATAAAAACCTAAAAAATCAATTTTATTTTTAAAAAACTGATGATATACTTAAAAGTCATGTCATAATTCACTCACCCATTCTCAACCACATCCTCTGTGTGTATGCGCTCGTACATGTAAAATTAGAAAGCCCATTTCTCTCATTTTCATTCTCACTCACCCTTTATTCATATCAATTTCAAATAAAAAAAATTATTTTTTATTTAAATTAAAAAATAAAATCATTAAATGTTGATAGTGTAAAAAAATTTATCTTGATCTCGGATGTTTTTTTAAACATAATAATTTTTCTAACATGGATAGTTTTAAAGAAGATTTTATAAATGAACAAAAATACTCCAATTGAGACACTAAATTATATAAAAATAGTAGATTTTTCTTTCAAATTTATGCATTGTTTATAAAATATTATTATTAATTTTTATAACAATTACTTTTACAAAAAGAAGTATTTCAAGATTAAAATTGATAAAATGTTACTTAAAATCAACTTTGACAAAAAATATAATTTGATTAATGATATTATCAAGGAAAAAAAATATGATAACAACATTTAAATATAAAAACTTAATGTATACTTTTATAACTCAAAAAATGAGAAGAATTAATTTTAATCAAACTTTTTAATACTAAAAATAAAAAGTCTTCAAAATAAATTATCGTTTTAAATCTCAAATTACCTTGAACCACCCCACGAACGAACTGGTGGTGCAACAAACTTGTAAGAATACTGCATGATGAATTGCTTCCGGTCTGGAGATAACCACCTCTCCGGCCAAAACTCTAGACAATCCTCACCCCCAAGTAGACTTCATTCTACCCGCCTAGTATATAGAGTATGTAACCGATCACCCGGCTGGCACAAATCTACTGTCCGGCAAAACGTCGTTGGACACGACATGATTCGAGTCCTTTGGCACAGAAGGTATAGTCGGTGAGTTTCCATCAATGCAGCTTTCAGGTATATCAAACAATTAACTTTGGTAAAGAGGCTCGACGATGAAGAGGAGAAAGAGAATAGTTCAATTAAATTTTTTAAATTTGAATTTCAAATTTATTAGCATATCTCCACCAGTGAATTAAGAAGTAATAATTTCTAAGTTAAGAAATAAATTTAATATTGTTTTTAAGAAATGTATTTTAAAGTTTTTAAAAAATTATGAATTTAACTCCTTATCAGTAAGATTAAAATTTGAATTATTCTAAAATAAGTATGAATAACAAACTAAATTCATGATTAACTGCAAGTTTTACTTCGTCCTTTAATAGATAAAAATAATATGATATATTTATATTTTTTCACATTGTATTTGGTAATTAAAAATTCAAGAAACATAAAAGAGGCATGTTTCAAAAAAATTAACAAGACGATATCTATACATCAATGATCAATTATATAACTTATTTGACACAAATAAAAATAATATTTTATAATTTTTAATCTTCTTACAAATTTCACATTTTACTTATTTTTTGTTGCATATTTTATAGCTTTTGAACCAAAAGAAACTGTAACAAATTATACCAATATTTTAATAGCATATAAATATCACACATGAATTAATTTTAAACAAAATATAACGAACAAACCTAAAAAAAAAAAAAAATCATACACATAAACATCAAATATACAAATTAATAGCATAACAAACTAAAAATTACACATAATAATTTTTACAAAATTCAAACACAGTTTAAAACAAAAAATTCCAAAAAACCAAAGCTTACAGTCGGAATCTCATAATAATGGCAGTCGCCGGTGAGAAATGCCCAAGCAGCTGTTCCTTTTGTTTTTGTAGTGCAGGCCGTCATTTCCTTTGCTTTTGGTCGGCAAGTTGTTGGGTGTGCAAGCGTCTCTTTATTTTTCATTTGCTTGTTTTTGGAAACGTAACGACAGAAAACAAAAGAGTGGGCCCATATTCACATATTTCATTTAGATTAATTTTAGAGTAATGTTATATGAATTTAAAAATTATAGTTAAAAATTAAATTTGATAATCTCAATCATTGATTTTACTGTGGGTTTAAGTATTTATTGAGACCCACTACATATTCAATGGTTGAGATTATCAAGTCTGATTTTTAAGTCTATCTAGCATTACTCATTTCAAAAGATAAATAAAATGACTTTTACTTTTCGCGATTCAGATCGTTTTAAATTTTATTTTAAAGTTAAGTTAACGGTTAATATTAACACCTTAAATTTAATAAAATATATATATATATGACCCTAAAGGTATGTTTGGAATAACTTTTTAAAAGTATTTCTAAAAATTATTTCTCATAAATATTTTTTTTAAAAATAATGTTTCATAGCCTAATCACAAAGAATTGTCTAAATTCAAATTCAACATATCTAAAATTATAATTTATCTATATTACCTTAAAATTGTAAGTCCCGTAAATATACTTCAACTCATAATAGAAATTGCACGAGATAATTCCTGCAATAATTTGAGACAGCGATCTCTAAGTTGGCGAACTTGAAACAACAAGGTCAAAAAAGGGGGGTCTGGTGAACACCTGGCTTATCCCCTTCGAAACTTAAGTCAGTCTAAAGTCAAAGGGTTTAGTTCAATAAACAATCTTTTTTTGGTTCAAGTTTGTGTACCTTTGTCCATTTTTCTGAGGAGTATTTGTACATGAATTAAGAATGATTGTCAAAGGTTTCTAGTCTCATCTGGACATCTAACATTTGACACACTATTCCTCGCACGATGAGTGTTTTCTACTCACGTCTCCTCCTATAAATGCTAGGACGATGGGAAGAGCGTTAGGCAAAATGCCGAGCATTTATGCCCTTCCCCGAGTACCTAAACCCCTCAAATCAGCATCTAGCATCAACTGAGCATTGAATACTCGACAGAACAGTTCCTCGGGAGGCCCGATCGTGTTGTCTCGGCGCATCAGCCATTAATGTTTTAGCCGTCATAATAGTAGGCCTAGACTCTCAGAGTGTAGGTGCTTGCAGGGACACATTTATTTGTTCTGTCATCATCCCTCACTCTGCCATAAAATGAGAGGTTACGTCGTATTAAATACGATGTCAGCAGTCGTACTCGGTTGTTCTAGGTCACCATATCTCGGCGCTCTTTTGACGTCCCAACGACTTCATTACTCCATGTGTCAACCTGGGGCTGTAGAACCACCTAGAGTCCCGCCAGAAATATATGACTCGTATCTTCAAAATCCAAATAACCATTTATGGTTTGTTATCTCACTCGTCGTCGCCAAAGAACATGAATCCATTGCTGTTATTATTAACATAGTAATATTTTTGATGATGCACAAAATGATTTTGCACACCACCTGTCAAGTGTGAATAATAAATGCAAGAAAATAAAATCAGAAGATGGAGAGACACAGACAATTTATAGTGGTTCGATCAGCTCGACTTACGTCCATTCTTCAATAGCTCTGGTTGTCAGGTATTTCATTAACTCAAGGGTGTGGGGAGTAGAGAGTACAATCTTTGAGGGAGAAGAGAGAGTCGTGCTCAGGTAAAGTATGATCTGCCCCCCCAAGTGTTGGTGGGACTTACAATTTATAGTCGTCCTCTTAACAGATTTGGGCAAAATATTAGTAAGTAGTTAGCTAGTTTGTTGGATCTAGCGAGCTCTTCTCAACGTGCTAGGCAGTTGCGGTACTCTCCATGAGATTCGGTCAAAGGATGAGGTGGGGTGTTGACCATCTCCAGGGCAACAAGGATAGGGCTTTGTAAGACCTTGCTTGCTCCCTTAACTCCTTGAGTTACTGAGCTTGATCGGACTGACCACACTGATGAGCTTAACCGGGTAGAGCTGATGAGTTTGAACAGGTTGAGCTGATGAGCTTAACCAAGTTGGCTATACTGGGTTGAATTTGCTAGATCTCTTGGAGTCGGACTATAAACTTGAACTGGTCTTATAACATAAGTTGGGCCTTTGGGCTTACCCATCAATTTTCGATCTCAAACGGAATCCCAAATTTTTAAACCCCACTAAATAAAAATTATTTGATGAGTGAATCTCATTAAAATAATAATAATAATGAAATCAACTGATCCAATAATCTCAACTTTTTTGAGATATTCAAGTGCACTTTGATTAAATTCTTTTCGATCCAATCCAATATAAATTATTTACGCAAGGATTAAGTTATTCACAAGAGAATCTCTCATGGCATGACATTAAAAAATTATCAAGATTAAAATTCAGGAAATCTAAGTTTATGCTAACTGCCACAGCTCAATCGAAAAGGTATGTTTGCCAATGAACCAAATTATTCCAAATTAAAAAAAAAAAAAAATTTGTTTAGTTATAAAACAAATTGAGATCAAGTTCAAATTTAATTTTAAAACTTGTCGAATTAACATGCAGAGCTCTAGAGTTGTTCAAGATAGTTTATACGCACTTTAATTAATTTTCTCTCCAGTCCAATCAATGATATACAATTCATACCAAGATTAGGATGTTCACGAGTGATAAATCTCTCATGACTTTACCTTAAGAAATTGTCAATATTAAAATTCAAAATATTTGAATTTATAACAACTACCACAACCGAATTATTTGTTATTCCAATGAACCAAATTATTCCAAATTTAAAAAAAATATATAAATTTGTTTATTTATAAAACAAATTGAGATCAAGTTCAAATTTAATTTTAAAACTTGTCTAATTAACATTCTTAACCCCAGACTTGTTTGGTTAAACACACTGAGTTGTCCTTGTCTTAAGCATGATTTAGATTCAATTTTAAGTTTGAACACAAGCTTAAGCTCTAATTGATCACCTGATTAGACGATGTGAACCAAGTCCTAATTCAAAAAAAAATTAAAGAGTCAAAGTTTAAACATTATAAATATTTTTAAATTAATATTGGATTATCGTCATTAAATCAGCCGCCGACACGATGCTAAATTAAATTAATTTTATAAATTCCAAGAAGATGACACTGATAATGAATTGCTGCAACAAAAAATAAAGACAAATACATATAGTCAGCATGTATGAACCAGATAAACATCGAAAGCTATTGTGTACCACGGACAGAAGGTGCCAAATTTCAACTAGATAGTTTCTCACGCTAAAGTAAGAATTGCATTCATCACTTGTGGACTTTATTTCATCGCCAAATTATGATTTGTTGTACGATTGGTTGAAGTTTCCCACACGTTTCATTAATGCAGACAAAAATAAATTACGATATTCAAATCATCGTCTCAACTCAGCCCCGAGTCCATGACTCAGCCAACTTGGTCAGAGCAAGGCGAGAGGAACCACTGTCCACCGTGATTGCTGTCTCCATAGCTTCTTTTGTAACCTGTGTCTTCTTCCTCACTGAATCTCCTTCCTCCGACTCCATCAACTCTCTGACTCGCTTCTCCACCTCAGCTGAACTCACAAACCCATCTTCCGATTCTTCCATTGCCAACGCCAGCTTCATTTCCTCCACCAAAATTACTCTATTAAATCTCTGCTCTGCATAGAGCGGCCACGCAATCATAGGCACGCCGGCACACATTGCTTCCAACACCGAGTTCCAGCCACAGTGAGTCACAAACCCACCCACTGAATCGTGATTCAACACGGCTACTTGAGGAGCCCATGACTTGATCACAAGTCCTCTCTCTTTTGTTCGATCCAAGAAACCTTCTGGGAGTAATGAGTCCAAATCCGGCTCAGCTGGTGGCAAGAAGTGCTTGGTTTGGTCCTCTGTTGGTGGACTTCGCACCACCCACAAGAACTTCTGTCCACTCCTCTCCAACCCAACAGCTATCTCCTTCAACTGCTCCGCCGAGAACAACCCTAAGCTGCCAAAACACAGAAACACAACACTACGACTCGGCTGTGAGTCGAGCCACACCAAACACTCATGCATGCCGCCACCACCTGTTCGATCATCGGCCGCAATCAATGGTCCTATGCAGAAGAGAGGCGGAGTAGGTTCATCTGGAACACATAGACCATCTCTTATTGCTTCGAGAGCTCTCGACTCTAGCAACTCAAACGTGTTAACGATAATTCCAGCTAATTTTGGCAAGTTGGCACATACATCCAAGAAGCATTCGTAGGCCTTATCTGTTCGATCGAGCATCGGTTTCGGCATATCAGTTCCGGGAAATGGTGGCAAGCCCGGGATGTCAAGATGGGTGTCAAGATCTTTAAGACTCTTTGTTGTGTTCCGATGGATGGTGGGGAGATATAGGAAGGAAGCAAGGCAACAGGCGCCGGAAGTGAAGAAGCAATACACCGGAATTTTCAGTTCAGCTGCAACGGTGAGAGCCGTAATGCAAAAGAAGTCGATGATAAGGGCACGGACGTTGCTTGTTTGGGAGATGGTGAGAAGAGCTTGGTGGAGGAGAGGGTTGTTGAGTCGGAGAAATTCGAAAGCAAGGGTTTCAGGGTGAGGAGAGGAAGGGTGGACAGAGACAGAAATGGTTGGGAGGTGGTAGAACTTGATGGCTGGAGTTGTGGCGGAGACGCGGCTGATGTAAGGGGCCGTAGAGCCGGTGTTGTAAGGTGGATTGGTGATGAGGATGGTGATGGAGAAGGAAGGGTGGTGCTTGAGTACAAGCCTTCCCAGCTCTACCATGGAGATAAGGTGGCCAATGGCCGGAGAAGGATACAGAACTATGGCATCCTCCATGTATGTGTGTGAGAGAGAGAAAGAGAGTATTAAGGTAGACTAGGCTAGGAAATCATGTTTTTCCCCCCGGCGAGTCGCTTATTATATTGTTGAAAATGGAGCAGGTGACAATCATTGAAGCGAAAGCATGTTTTTTTAGTCGATAAAAGTTTTTACGTATTTTGATTAATTTTTTTTAATTTAATTAAAGACAGATTATTTATATTAGAATTAAAATCTTTATGAAAGATATTAGACTTAACATATTTATGAAAGATAAAATTTTTATAATTTCGTCCTAAAAATTATCAAAATTTAAATTTTTAATCCATCTATATTATGAACTATGAACTAAGAATGATCGAGTTTGATGACTAAGAAGGGAATCAGGTGCCCACAAGAGAAGGCATGTGAGGAAAGGATAAGTCTATAATATTACTGATATTAAATTTTCAACAATGGATAAGTTTATAATATTAGTGTATTTTTTTAGTATTAGTAATGCATTACGTAAATAAATTTAAATAATTTTTTTTATAGGAAATGTGATTTATTATTAGTTTTAATTTTTATTAAATTTAATTATTAATTTATTATATAAGTTTTTGACTACTTAATATATCATTTATTTAAGTATCTCTTTGACCACTTTGGTTAGCTCACTTATAATATTATTATATTATTATATACAAAAAATAAAATATAACATATATTTGATTGTATAATTCAATCTTTTAATTACATGTGTATAATAATTTAGTATTTATTAATTTTTACTTCATATAAATGTAAAAAATTATATGTAACTCTACTACTAATAAATGAGTTTTAAAAAATTTAAAAAGTCCTAATAAGAAAGTTTGAATCAAATTAAAAGTCAAATAAGAGTAAAAAATACAAATTAGATGAAAATATATAAGTGTGTATAATTGACTTTATTATAATAATTGAGGATAAAATAAAAAATTAAATTTTTTTGTTGATACTGATATTTATAAGTAATATAGATAATAATATATTTATTTAATTGTATTACTTATATTATTTAATAGAAAGATAAATACTCAATTTAATGAATACATATTTATAATTTATCTTAACCCGTTAATTAAAATGAATTTTATTACCCATAGAACTCGCATTAATTAATATAACTATTCAACTTATTTATTTATGGTCGAATTAATTAAGCTAATAGATAATGAATTAAAATTGTGACTTTTGGATACAAGAAATATCCCAAAGTAATCCTCTACAAAAAATGAGTCCTACCCACTTAACCATTGAATGTTCGCTTTCAAAGTTAGGTAAGGGAATAGGAAGTTTAAGGTAGAGTTTTTATATTAGACAAACTCTACACAAATTTAAAAGATTGTCTTAAAAATTTGATTTAATGATGTAGTTGTTATATTTATTATTGATTTAACTGTAAAGTTCTAGTATTTATTAGGACATATTATTTATTTAATAATAGTGATTCATCAAGTCAATTTTTTAAATTTATTTAGCATTTTCTTGTATATTTAGGAAGGAAATTTCAATAGAATTCCCTTTTTGTGGGTGTTTGAAAGAAAAGCAATGTTATTGACGTCTAATTTATTGACTTAATTTGTTGACGTAACTTATTATGATATTTTGATTGACTGTAGAACTCATAAACATTAAACTTTAATATTGATCTGATAGTTTCACTAAAATCACATCATTAAGTTAATAAATTATATCAAATTTTTTGATCGAAATAGCATTACTCGAGAGAGAGAGGAGGGGAAAAATATTAAAAGTAAGTAAGAGTTATCTATAGTACTGGAAAAATAAATTCAATATTATACCTCTATTTATTACATTTGTGGTTACTTTTACTACTGTTGTTGTGGATGTTTTTATCATTATTATAATACCGAAAAAAGTGATAAAAAATAATTACTATAAAAGTGGTAAAAATACCCATAAAATGTGATTAATCACTTACAAAAATGATAATTTATTTTGTACCAAAAAAAAGTTTTAAAAATAATACTTATAATAATGCTAAAAACACCAATAAAAATACCCCCAAAAAATGACAAGTTTTTTAATTATAAAATAAATCATAAAAATTATAAAAATACTCATTAAAATAATAAATTTTAGAAATACAATTCAAATTTTTGTTTGTCGATACCGTAGTCAAGTGGAAGAAAGTTTGGTAAGGCATCACTTACTCAGGTTTTAAATAGTTTTAGTAATTGACCAAAATAAATAAATAAAGAACCTCAATAAGTGATGCCTTTCGTAAGCAATGATATAATGGGGAAAGTTAAAATATGACTTTCCGTAAAGTTATAATATAATGAATAAAATCATGATATAGTGGAGCGGAGACAATTACATAATAATAATAATAATAATAATTAAAATCGAATTTGGTGAGTTTATTTTTTGCCCAATTCACACGTCATCTAGGAAATATGTGTTTAATTCCCATCGAGTAATACTACATGAACTTAAACACCATTAATTTTATTATAAGTCTCAATATTTATTAAAATTTATTATTTATTTAATAATTATAATTATAATATCTAATTTTTAAGTCCACCTACAATTATCGACTGCCAAATGCTAGAACTAGTGTTTTCAGTGACTATGATGATTAATTATTCCACCGTGGGCCCAGCCTAAAAGACTCCAAAAGTAGAGCACGAAGACTCGGAGTCAGCCATAGAAAAGTTGAAACTAATAAACTAGTCTTGACGTTAACTTAACATTGCGCCTGCACAATGGACGGAGAAAATATACAAACCTTTTCTGGTTGTCGCCTCGCCTCGTCTTGTGTTCAAATCAAACTATAAACTTTGAAAAGTCATAGAATAAAATAAAAAGCTTAGGAGACCACAAATAAGAGCTGTTGACTGGGACGGAGCCAGTAATATCTATTAAGAGAAACAAAATATAATTAATATAAAAAAATTAATTTCAAGAATGGTACAAAAAAATAAGATTCAAGACAGTTATTATGAACTAATAAAATCAATTGTTATTTAGCTGTAATAAAATTTGAACAAAAAGATATAAAATATTTTTTTAGTATATTTTAACCAAATTATATCTATATAATAAAGTAACTTACAATTCAAATCTCAAATGATAAACAAAATGATTTTTGTTATTCGCGGTTAAGATCGCTTTAAATTTTACTTTGAAATTAATCTAACGACTAATATTAACACTCTAAATTTAATAAAAATAAATAAATTCTTAAAGGTGTGTTTGAAGTGATTTTTTAAAAGTAATTTAAAAATTATTTCTCATAAATATTTTAAAAAAACAGTGTGTAAAACCGTCTCACAACCATCTTTACCACCACCGTCGTCGCCACCACCGTCATCGTCATTACCACCACCATTACCACCACCACTGCCCCCATCGCCACCACCACTGTCGCAGCCGTCACCCCCACCCCCACCCCCACCACCACCACCGCCGCCACCACCACCACCACTATAGCTGCCGTTATGGGCATTGTCACCTACCACAACCATCACCGTTTTCTACCACTACTATTGCCGCTCACCACCTCTCAGTCCTACTACAAATCGATGCTTAAATTTTTTTATTTCTTTTGTATGTTTGTGATTTGATTTTGGATATGAATACAAATATATTTATTGTATACTATTTTTTATTACTCTGTGCCTTCAGGTACAGACAATAACTAATATTTCAATAAAATGTAACGTTTTGTAAAATCTCTAAAATTTTATATATTAATTAAATATAAATTATTTTCTCACTAATTTCCTATCAATTCACACAATCACAAGTCCGTATTAAAATCATTATTTACTTCGTTACAACAAATTTATTGTTGTATCTGATCGCATTTTATTAGGTTGTAACCTAGTATTACTAAAAAAGGGGTAAATGTGAACTACAAATTATTTTTAAAAATTAGTGAACATTATGTTAGATAAAGAAAAGTATTATCTTTTAGTTAATAAATAAATATATCAAAATATTTACATCTGATTTACTCGATCAAAAAAAAACTTTACTTTAGAGAGTTAGTGAACCACAAATTTACTTGAAAAAAAAATAGATACTTGAACCATAATTGAAATGCTTACAAATTTAGAGGGGGCAAATATAATATATTAAATAATTGGGTTAATTGTAAGTTGCATCCCGAAAAATAGTTCGAATCTCAATTTATACCTCCAAATATCAAAAATCTCAATTTGCACCCTTAAAGATAGAAATTTAAATCAATGTGCACCCCCAAAGATAAAAAATCTCAATTTATACTCCAAAAGATAGAAATTTATATCAATGTGCATCTAAAACTAAATTGATAAATTATACCTAGATCCCCTCATACTTGTCACATAATCATTTGGACCCCTGCACGTTTAGAATATTACTCTCATATCTCATGGCGTTTGTGCACGTGTAACACGTAACCCTTTTTTGTTGATGTATGTTAATATAATCGTTAAAAAATATAATTTTATCCTAATAAAAAATTATAATTTCATATTACCTTTTATTTTGTGGATCCGATATACTTTAAAATTAAGCTTACCATTTGAATGTCCAATAGAATGTAAATATTTATATAATATTTTTTATATCCAATGCAATATATCACTCAATGTGCAACCCTTTATTTTATTAGACATTCAAATGATAAGCTTGATTTTGAATTTTAGAATATATTGAACCCATAAAATAAAGGGTAATATGAAATTATAATTTTTTATTAGGACAAAATCATATTTTTTAATGGTTATATTAACAGATATCAACGAAAAGGGGTTACGGGTTACATGTGCACAAACGTCCTGAGATGTAGGAGTAATATTCTAAATATGAAGAGGTCCAAAGGATTAAGTGACAAGCATAAGAGATCTAGGTATAATTTATCAATTTAGTTTTAGGTGCACATTGATACAAATTTTTATTTTTGAGGATGCAAATTAAGATTTTTTATCTTTGAGGGTACACATTGATACAAATTTTTATCTTTGAGGATGCAAATTAAAATTTTTGATCTGTGGAGGTGCACATTGATACAAATTTTAATCTTTGATGGTGTAAATTAAAATTTTTGATCTTTAAGGGTACAAATTGAGATTCGAATAATCTTTTAAGGTATAATTTACAATTAATCCTAAATAATTTTGTAGGTGCCCATCAAAGATAGTCCAAAAGTGTGGTAGTTGGGGGGGGGGGGGGGGAGTGCCCACCTGGTCTCCATGTTGCTCCGCCACTATCTGTTGAAATAAAGGAAAACCACAATCTTGCAATCTAAAGAGATCGCGAGTTCGCAGGGAATCTCCAAGTTTGTAGTTTGTGAAAAGAAAAAAAAAAAACAGCAGACCTGAAGATAATGACGATAAATCAACACCATACTAGAGACCATACAAAAGAATATTCTGCATTACCAGCACAAGAAGCATATATGAAGTCCTTAAACCTGAATCAACCAGCTAATTCAGTTGATTAGGCTTTACCGCACCACCAATTACGGCCACAATTACCCAAAAAAGAGAAAGTAATTGCAAGAGTAATAGTTAGTCAAAAGAAAAGCACAGGGAAACATAATTTAAGGGTACTAGTAACAGCACATGTGCTTTTCTTGAAGACAGGACATGCATCATTTCTGAGTATAATCTGTCTAATCTTTGGTGGTGGGTCAAAACTCTCTCTCTCTCTCTCGTGTGATGGTGGGGGGAGGGGGGGGTATTGGTTGTGGTGGTTCAGAGGCGTCATTCTGGTGGTGGAAGGGGGTTTGATACAGTGACTAGAAGGGGTCTCTGGTGTGAGGAGAAAAATGAAGGGATGATCAGGCTGGTGGGGAGAGTTGGGGGTTGTTCTGGTGCAAATGGGTTTGGGTGGTTGTGGGCAAAGGGCTGCAAGAAGCAGGTAGATACAGGTGATGTTGTTGGAGAGGCAGGGCTGCAAGGTGACCGGGGTAGGTGCCTAATGATGAAAGGGTTTTTACGGTGGTGTGTCATTGATTTTTATTCCACACAATGTCAAAATTCAAAATTCAAAATTTTCAGTGTGTCCACAATTCCACACACAAGATATACATTTTGACTAGATATTTTTTTTCCCAAACAAAAGGCGTATAATTCAGGTAAGATTCATTCAAAAAAAGGCACAGAAAAGAACAAACACATCCATAAATTTGCATTGTCCATGTTTGCCTCCTTAAAATCAGAACCGCCACAGGATACAAACTAAACGATAGCCCTCAAGGCCTGCATGTCAAGCAAATGTACTGCCATGCTGAAGGACAGGGGAAAGACTGAAATATGACGATAAATTTTGATAAATCCTAGTATATTCTAACGAACCAGCAACACATTCATATGCAACTCCTGCAATCACAAAGCATTGATGGGGAATAACCAGAAACTGGTGGTCGAGCAATACCTTGGCATGCTATCCAAGTCCTCTCACGTACTGATCAAGAGTTGTATTGAATAGCTCACATCTACAAAACCAAGAAAGGGCATATTAACATCCAAAACTTCCGCACTTTCCAGCAATTTGTAACTTGAACCTAGTCATTATAAACACAATCAGCCTAACAATGCGAGCTCAAAATTGAGATGCCACAAAACTAAGAACAGGTTGTAAAGTTCTGATATTGCATTGAAAATTTGCGTTAACTAAATTCATATTTAATGTCTTCCAACTAATAAACATAAATAAGAAACTCATCAGAAAAGTTACTATCTGAACAATTAAAGGCTCAATTTTGTTATCTAACAGAATTTGCTCTCCATTCTTGAAACTTCCTTAACTCTGAAACCCAATTCTTAGCATGTATTCCTTCATTGTCGAGCTTGTTTCTACCACAGAGCTCACTTTAATCTGACTCAGATTTCAAAGTTTGTTTTTAAATTTTTTAAATAAAGTTCCCAATAAATCTTATTCACCTATAAATGCTTAGTTCTGACATGGTGTAATCATATTTCCCCCTTTCATGTAGCAAAATTGCTGATGCATCGAACCATTAACTTACCCTAGCATGCAGTAACTTGGACTCCATATTGAATATGCCACAAGTGCCAGAAGTCATTCAACTATATGTCATACACTCTCTCTCTCTCTCTCTCATGATAACCCTCTATAATGCCTTTTTTCCAGTAATATCTATAATATTGTTATAAGCTTTAACACCATGAATCATGAACCTTGTCATGGTTCCAAATCTTTCCAAAAGCTAATTAGTATTGAGTTTTTATAACTTGATTGACTGTTCTTTGATATTCCAGTACAGGAACCTCATGTAAATTGTCAATAATACTGGATATTCTTAGTCACTCGTCCTTCACTTCTTGAGTTGAACTAAATGTTTCTTCCTAGAATTGGACATAATCTTTTCTATCCAAGAAAATGGTTGACTGGTCCATCAAAGATTGCAAATAAGTAGCATATACAGATAGGTAACAATACAAATCTCATGTCTGATGCTCATAAAGAAACCAAGCAATGACTCCGAGCTAAAAAGATTGACCAGCAGCCAGCTTAATGTTGTCTGATCAATAAAGCAACATAAATATACAAACATGAAGCTTTGGACTGATGAGTGTACAATTTTAGTCTACAACCATAGAATATTTGCCACAACTTCATATGTACAAAATTGTAGGATGCACTTGTATGGAATGAGAGAGCAAACAAATTTAATTTGACCAAGAAATCTCCATGTTGGCATGAACCAACAAAATCTTCAACTATGCGTCCCCAGTCTTGAAAGCTAATCACTTGCCTGATGGGAGTTCCTGGAGTATACAATGGATTCTTCATAACATATTCAACATACAAGTTGTAAATGTACATCAAAGCTTCTCTAAGATCACCGGTCCTAGGATGAGTAACCAGAATGATCTGCACAAAAGCAATTAGATATGTTAAAAGAGTGCATTAAAAAGTGCAGTCTGAGTCTGGTACAGATGATGGATGCTAGATCAGATAGGATCTTTCAAAATGGACAACATATAATGTAACTATACCCTTCAAAAAAGTTCCTTTTCGAATTGGCTTTGTTATTCATAATTAATGAGCGGCTGATTTTTTTCCTTTAATAAGTATATGCAACACAAAGACTTTACTAACCTTTATGCCAGATGGACTCTCCATGAAACTAACTTGGTAAGTATTTGAACGAAAACTGTGAAATGAACACCCTTGTCCAGGTAACTGTGGCACCCCAAGATTTCCTTTATCAACGCTACCCAGGAAAAGTTTCAAAAAATGAGTAGAGAGCCCTTCAAAAACACAATTAACTCAAAAACCAACCACAATGACAAACATCACAATCACTAGGTACAGTTTCAAGCACTGCATTCATGCCTTAATAGAAATTAGCTCCAAATTAAAACAATGACCGACTCTATCAAGTGTAGGAACACCAATACCAATCAATTATATATCTAGCTACCATACGGGAATACCGAATTCACCTAATATCTGGCAAACATACAGAAAAAGTTCAAAATTTTAGAAGATGCTAATGCCACTAATGGAGGAAGTTTTTTCCGAATTTCCTGAAGATAAAACACTTCGATATTCCTATCTACAAGAAGAACCCCTCTATAAACTGGTTTGATCAACTCGTAATACATCTCAAAATGAAGAGTAATGTCCATGCATACTCGAACACCTTGTCTTTAGTTATGGGTTCCAAACCAATTGGATCCCACTGTACGTAAAAGTGGAAAAACCTTGATGAAACCTGGTATTCCATGGCAGGCAGTCTCAGGGGTATCCCCCAATTTCTTAAAACTGATAGGGATCTTTCGTGTGCATCTGGTGGCCAATCCTCTCTCTGTCTCTCTCGTCATATAGATTCATTCAATCATTCCTCATGATCCTCCCCTTCTCTATACTTGATTAAATCGGCATTGTTCAATAGTCAACACATTCCTCTCCTCTTTTGGCTTGTTGAATTGCAATACATCTCAGACAGGTTTATAATGAACCTTAAGATTTTTATTGTATTGAATTCAGGTATACTTAATAAATTATTGCGTCTCATGTAATGATTCAGACCAGATGATAGATTTATACCATCAAAATCCAAGACAATAAAACCAAACAATTTCATTCAGATGGAACATCCTCCCAATTCGGGGAAAATAATTACTAATAAACATAGTTATCAAATTGTGTATTGAAAGGCGTATCATTTTTTAAAAATAGTGTATTGTATCGTGTAAAATACGACGTAATTTTACATAATTAATTGTAAAATATATATGCTTTTGAAAAAAAATCATAGGCTCATAAAAACATAACATTTCATTAATATTCCACTAACTATTCAAGTCACCAATATAATTTACTAATATTAAAAAAATAATAAAGGGTATCAAATTAAATTAATGATACTTATATATACTTAAAAATAAAAAATTATAATGTAAGGGGTATTAAATATAATTTTTCATTCTTATAACCACAGTCGTTAGTCTATCTAGTACCCACGACTCACGAACGAACACAGAAAGCCAGAGAGAAGAGCAAAAGGCGATCGGCGATCGCAATGCCGATGCCGGTGGAGAGAGAGAGCGAGAGAGAGAGAAAGAGGAAGAAGAAAAAGAAGACGAACTGTGGTACGTAGGGTTTCATCTGAAATTTACCGGTTAGTATTGCTATTTTTTTCAATTTCAAAAATTTGTTTGATTTGCTTTTGCTTTTACTTTTGCTCGGGTGTTTTTGTTGATTTGTTGCCGGGTAATTCTTGTCTTCTTCAACTCTGTTGCCTTTTTTTTGGTATTTTCTCTATTCTCTAGTTTGTGGGCTTCGGTGTGGCTTCGGTGTTTTCATCTCTCTTGCTTTTGCTTCGGCGTCTTCATCTCTGGTGCGAATCAGACTATCAAAAAAATAAATAAATAATCAACGACTTCGCGTATCGGTATGATACGTATTGTATCATAAAAACGCATCGTGTATTGGACGATACAATATAAAAACAATATATAACTACGATCCGTATCGATTTAAGCCTGTATCGTACGATATGTATCGCGTATCGTCAATACCGACAACTATGCTAATAAATGCAAGATTATTAAAAATGAAAAACAAACCTAGTGGGATCCATTTTGGCAGTCAAGGATTTGAGAGAAAAAAGCAGACCAAACATAAGCTTGTGGTCCTGTTAGGTATTCAAGGTCCGGAGAGGCCGATTCCACTCCCTATAAAGCAAACACACTCCATTTCTATTGAACGCATAAATCATATTGCCATTGTTTCCCGCTGCTGTTGGTGCTGGAGGTGATGGACTGATCTCTGAACTATGGAAAAATTGTATTGTAATGAATAGTTCAATCCACCCAAAGTAATTGGGTCGAAATGTACAATTCTGGATGCGAAAGACCAGTGATTCAACGTCTCTGCAAACATACAAAATTTTGCAATCTATTTTAGCTAATTAAAAAAACATATATTCGAAGTATAGGAATATGATCTTAATGTTTTGTTTTGTTTTGTGGTAGAGATAATGTAGGGAGAGATTAAGAGCTAAACTTTGGGATTTGGGAATTTTTCATTATTTCGGATACCAGAACGAATTGAACCATTTGAATTTAGTTGGCTTTCATTTACCAATTTTTCCACAACTTATAATTGACATAGTTCCATTTTCCTTCTAGGCTCCTTTAGAATCAAATAAGCGTACAAAGATTACAACTCATAAACTCTAATTTCTGAATATACACAAGATTGAAACCAAGTAGCTCGATTTGATCGGTCACAACCCTAATATTAAACGAATACTATTTAGCAAACAAAATAGCAGTATCAAATGTACGATGTAAAGAGTTTTGCAAAGAAAAAAGAGAGAGAGACCTGGAGACTTGATCAAAGTGAAGTAGAAGGAGGAACCAAATTGACTTGTTAGTTTACGTATTCTCCTCTTCCCCTCGCTAGAGAGAGAAAATAAAGTAAATAACACGTACACCTCTTAAATTATGATGTGCTAATTGAGTTCCTAATTTTTTTTAACCTTTTTTTTTGTGTGTGTGCGTGGATTTAACCCTTAAATTTTTTAATTATATCAATTGAGTCTTTCAGTCTACTAGATTTTCTAACAAAAAACGACAAAGTGTGTCAATTAAAAGTGATAAAGTGTGTCACTCAAGTGATACAAATGATTGAATAAATTATACGTATTACTCTCAAATTATGACTCTTCAATCAATTAAACGGTTGAATTTTTTTTCTAATATTATTTAAGTTTAATTTATTGACATGATATTTTATAGCCTAATTTACTGTAATTATTAGAATAATTGTGAGTCTTAATAAATTATATCCAAGTAATATTATTATTTTTATTATATTTTTGTTGGGTCGTAAGTTCAAACGGAGTATCTAATTCAAATTCAAAATAGTCCAGTTGCGTTAAGAAAAAAAATAGAAGAAACATATCACTCCTTGATACATAACTCGGTTGGTGGAACCCTACTCTTGTAATTTATTGTTGTAATTACAAATTGAATGTTTAATTGTTCATCTGATAATGATAATATCTTGTACTTAAATTGATAATTCATTTTTTGCACAAATTAACATGACATTAAATTGGCGAAATTGACAAATTTTACTTGTTTGTTTATTTTTGACCTTGACCTTGACAATAGTGATCCAATTTTGAAAATGCCACTGAAATGTTAAAGGCAACAGCCAAAAATACAATCATTTTAACATTGTTAAGGATAGATCTAAATAACATGTAATATCATAATTACAGCAGCAATGCTCACGAGTGTTTCAAGAGAATCAAATTATACTAAAATAAAAAAATCCCAAAAAATTTACCACAACAGGAAACCATAACTCTATGAAATCTTTGAATTCGACCAAGGAAGATGTATCATATACAGTTCAGACAATCTTAAAACATATAAAAGTTTATAGATCAAATGAATAGACTGATTCAAACACCACCAAGCAAAAGTTCAAAAAGAAAAAATTATATCGCACTGTATCTAACTAGAGTTAAGATACTAATATTCCCATTTCCTCATCTCCATGCCATCAGGAGGGCTTCCTTCCACCACCTTTGAACCCACTTCTTTCCAATTTGTGGATAACACTGTCCCATTCGACTCAACCTGTTAAACAGCACCGGGAAAAGTAAAAGGCAATATTTAATAAGATATGTTTTTGGTGATGCTTGACAAAAGAAACTACAAACTTGTAAAAAAAAAATCTTGAGAATTTGTTGGTTTGCGTCTCAAAAAATAATATCTAGATAATTGATTAGTATTTTTTGTATCTCAAAACTTGTTTAGTTATATAATTCCAAAAACAGTTATACAATAACCCAAAAAATAATAACACCATAAATGTTGTGATAGATTTAAATTTTAGAAAGATTGTTTTCAGAAACACATAAAACAACTTTAACTTGTT